CAAACTTTTATTTTGCATATAAATGCATATTTGGCTCATAAATGCATATAACTGCATATTTGGTCCTAAATCATAAAAACGCATGAATTTACTCAAAAATCATAACTAAACATGAATAAACTGTTTAAAAATTTACAATTAATTGAAATTAATTTTAGTTTACGAGCAAATATCTATTTATGAGGCAAAAATCTATCTAATTTTCATTAGATAGTAGTGATACAGCCTTAACTATATTGTAGTGACGAAAATTATTATATTGTTTAAAAATAAATAATGTATTTCTAATTTATTTTGCCATTAATTACTAATATTTGAATGAGTTTTGAAAGCTAAACGACCATTTTCATCATAACATTTTGCTTAATTGCATATAAAATAATATTTATATCACATATTTAAAAATTATAAGTGCATATTTGAGTGCATATTTAACCATTTTAAAATGCATATTATATGACATATTTGACTGCTTATAAATGCACATTTTGATATGCTTTATTGATAACCCTAATGCTAACATTGGAGTAAACTTTACTGACTTGTGACTCTGAGTTGTGAGTAAGTAATGTAACGCTATATCAGAGCTACTATCGTAGCCATAGTGACAGTGCGAGTGCTGGTGAGTAATGAGATGTTTGAGTAATGACAAGTTGTGAGTAAAGCAACACTTGAGTAAAATACACAACTGATAAAAATATATTTAAAAACTTTTAGTAAAACTTACCAATTAAAATTTGATTACAAAGCAGGTTTTCGTTTTCGAAATCAATGGTCATTTCGTATTTATAAAACGGGTTAAAACTTTTGATAACATATACATCGCGGTCGAGATAAACGCCGCCAAACTCGCGGAGCACTTGAATGCGTGTGATGTCCGCCGCGTGCCATAAGCCGCTCTCTGCGCTCAGTTTTTGGCCAAACACTTCGGTCGGCCTATCGATAGTCCGTACGGTTAACTCAGTGCCCGTCTGGCGGGCTATGGTTACCACACGGCGCCAGCGGTCACCCCGTAGTTCGCGGCAATCGCAGTGAATGTATATTTTGTCCGGGCGTTGATTTTTGAGCACCGATAGTATGCTTATAAAGTGGGCGAAGTGTATCTCACTTACGTTAAACAACACATAGTGTATAATATTGGGCACTATATCGAAGGGAAAGCCACTTATGTTGTACTGATCGGGCGGTGACTGTATTTGTTGTTTACAGTTATAGCACGAAATGTCGGAAAAGTTGTATACAATTTTGATGAATATAAAACACACTAATATTATAGCAATGAGCCAAAAAATGTTACGTGATAATTTTATTGTTTTGACCATGGTGCTCGTTTTGGAGTCACACAATATACGATGGTTTTGTTAACATTTACACCTCTCCCATACATTTGTATCAAAAATCATTTGTACATTTAACAAAGAGGCTTTAAATGAATGATAAGACTGTTACCCAAACTACTAAATTATCTTTATTTCATACTTATCATTATAAGAACGTTTATTTATTTTGTTAAATAAACATTACACTAAAATTCCGTGCATTACCCGCACCCCATGTATAAGCCGCACCCAAATATTTTCCAAAAAATTATACTTTTTCCTGTGGATAACCCGCAGGTAATGCATGGAATTTTAGGGTAATAGAAAACATTAATCAAAATACATAAATAAGAAATGATAAACATATTTAAGTTTATACCGTATAAATTATACAGTACTAGTTAAATAACTTCCTAAACATGATTAAGTAATTGCAATTCAAAGTGAAGCACATCTCTAGCCATTGAACCGAATGTATTGCTCAGCGACTCAACAATTGTCTCATTAAAGCGGTAAACGGCGGGTGTTTTGCCGCCTAAACACCAATAGATTTGCGACAACTCGTCGCCTCTAATCAGAAAATGTATTGAATAATAGCCACTAGTTTTCCAATCCTTGTTGGCCTCAGTGTATAGATAGGGACAGATTGAGGGCCGGCACCCAAACTGGCCGTCCATACGGTGTATAATGTGTGGCTGTTTGTTGATCACCTCCAGCACAGGCCGTTCGCCCGCATTATAATACCATTCACTCGCATTGTATTCGCGGTAAGTTTCGTAGTATTGAGATAGGAATCGAGCATTTTTATGAGCTAGGTTGCAAAATAAGTAGTTATTGTAAATAATAGTTGATATTTAAAATTTTACTTTTACCAAAACTTACTAATTAAAACTTGATTACAAAGCACGTTTTCTGTTTCAAAATCAACCGTCATTTCGTATTTGAAAAACTCGCTAAAACTTTTGATAACATAAACATCGCGGTCGAGATAAACGCCGCCAAACTCGCGGAGCGCTTGAATGCGTGTGACGTCCGCCGCGTGCCATAAGCCGTACTCTACACTCAGATTACGGCCAAACACTTCGGTCGGCCTATCAATGGTCCGTACGGTTAACTCAGTGCCCGTCAGGCGGGCTATGGCTACCACACGGCGCCAGCGGTCACCCCGTAGTTCGCGGCAATCGCAGTGAATGTATATCCGGTCCGGGCGTTGGTTTTTGAGCACCGATAGTATGCTAATAAAGTGGGCGAAGTGTATCTCACTTACATTAAACAACACATAGTGTATAATATTGGGCACTATATCGAAGGGAAAACCACGTGTGTTGTACTGATCCGGAGGGTCCGGTTTTACGAGCGGTGACTGTATATGTTGTTTATCGCACGAAACGGTGGGAAATGTTTTATACACTATATGATAGTCGGAAAAGTTGTTCACAAGTTTGATGAATGTAAAACACGCTAATATCATAACAATGGCCCGAAAAATGTTATGCAATAATTTTTGTGTTTTGACCATGGTTAGGACCGTTTAGCAGTCACACAATGTACAGATGGTTTTGTTAACAATTAGCACTAGTGTTAATGAAATATCATGAACGTAAAAATTATTTACTTTACAGCCCTATCATTCTTGTGGAGCCCAACGCCATACATTTGTATCAAAAATCATTTGTACAGTTAATTAAGATATTTTTATTACATTTATCTTAATTAAATAATGTTATTTTAAACAAATTAAAATAATATTGAAATATTTATTTAAAACATTAAAATGTTTTGATACGATCAATAGATTACAAACATATTTATNTTGTATCAAAAATCATTTGTACAGTTAATTAAGATATTTTTATTACATTTATCTTAATTAAATAATGTTATTTTAAACAAATTAAAATAATATTGAAATATTTATTTAAAACATTAAAATGTTTTGATACGATCAATAGATTACAAACATATTTATTAATCAATATGATAAACAAAAGTTTTAAAGACAATAAAATTAATTTTTAATTTTAGGTAAATAAATTCTTACTGGTGATTTTAACAAAAGTATATTAATCTAATAACTAACTAAATATATAATTGTAAACTACAATTTAATATACTTTTTATATTGGTCATTAGTTATGTTATGACAAGCATGCACATTTTGTGGCCAATACTGGGCACTAAAACTATACAATTGTTTACATGTTTTATACATTTGTGTCTCGACTGAAGAGGCGGTGAATATAATGACCAAAAATAATATAAAACACAGAATAACGGCATAAAAGAGGACGAGTTTGACGACAAAGACGGCTGTAGTAATCGTTACCATAAATATCAGCAGAACTATTATCGATCCCAACAATAGCCAAACAGACACCAAGTATTTGGACCAATAAGTTATGTTGTAATCATCGATCTCAGCGCACAATGAATTTAACGAGTTTATTATTGTCATTAATTGATAATCATTGTACTGTCCATTACGTACCATAAATATTACAGTATTTTTGAGTAAATTTATCTTGATTTTCAAATATGAACACATGAGATAAAAATAGCACAATTGCCACAACAATATGTTGTAGTTCTGATAGGAGGCATAGGATAGCAATAGGGTGTTGGGAATGCCGTACACTATAACCTCCCATAATGAACATTTTATAACATAAACGTACAAACATATTAGGCCAAAAACAAACGTGGTCCGTTTGGTTATAAAAGTTAGTACCCGAAATAAACGTTTTGATGTGTGTAAAAATCTAGTTATACTGTTTTGGTCGGTCAGACCAACTGAATCCGGAGCGCATCCGCCGGCCATCATGATAAACACTCGCATAAACGTGGGTTCGACTGTACGCCAGTGATTATACACGTAAATCGCTTGTATACTAATGTTATGGAGACTGAATAGTATGGCTCCGATCTTGAAGTAGTACTTCAGGCCTACCAATCGGGTGGCGTCGCCTAGTATTAGGTACCATACGTAATGTCCATCGGGTATATTGACCAAGATTACTTGTATTATTAAGTATAGCAATATAGTACCGGCCACGAGTATGGGGTGTGATGACCATGGTCGTTTAACTGTTTTTGGACTTGATTTATTGGGTACTTTTAGCATTAAGCCAATCTGGTACAATTGATGCTCAGCTGACTGTATTTGCAAATAATCTGGTAACAAATGTTTGCAATTCAATGCAATCATTGGCATAATACTTGCTATTGAATGCATTTTGTTTTAATTTTAATACAATTTTATTAAATTTCAATAAAATAGTAAATGACAATAATATTTCATTTATTTATATTTTAAATAATATTAATACAAAAATGTTTAAATTGTTATATTGAAACACACACACACACAGAATAATCTCGATGAAATTAAAATGATTATTTATGTTATTCAAAATTTTAATAGTTAATAATATTATACGAAATTTGCATAGCAAATGATTATGCTGTACTAGTTGGAATATAATTAATGAATATTGAAAACATACGCAAATAAGTTTATTTTTAGACTTATAAATGAGCTACTAATACTTGCTCGGAAAAATAAGTGCAACCTAAGTTGCAAGATATAAAGGTACATCATATTTTAAAAACTATATTAATTATACAGTTAATTATCTAAATAATTATACAATTATTCATATTTTATAATTAAAGTAATTTAATGTAAATTTAATAATAGATATACTGTATATGTATTTAAGTATTTACCTAATAAATTAAAAACCAACATTTTCATTAGATCTAAAATAATTAATTAGATATAATAACTACACAGTGTACTAATCAAGGATGCATAATAATTTACATAATAGTAGTTCAATATTATCTGCTAGAATTTATTAATACTATTAATTTTATTATTAAGTTTTAAATACATATTTCACAAAATATGTATTAAATATTTTATACAATTTATTAGCCATTGAATTAACATAAGATGCCGTAAATATGGTAATTAGGAAAGCGATCAATACAATAGAGACACAATAAATTAATGTCAAATACATTACAATTGATAGCCTGGTGAAAATAATCACATATAAAACGACAACAATAGATAGCCCGAGTATTGTCCAAACGGTCAACAAGTATTTGGACCAATAAGTAATGTTGTATTCATTGATCTCATTATAAAGTTTGTTTAATGAATGCAATGTTTTAATAATATTTACATTTGTTTTATGTATTGTTTTATGGATTGAGATAATTCTGGATTTAATATAATTAACTAATAAGTAAAAACACATTAATTGCCACATGACAAAATTGACACCATTGTAAATGTCCAAGCTTATTAAGAGAGTATTTGGTAGAGCAAACACCAGAGCCTGAAGTATTGTTTTGTTAACTAAATATGGTATCAAAACTATAAGTCCAGTAAACGGACTGATCTTTTCAATGTATTTATTAATCGTAAACAAAGTTTTTGATGTTTTCAGCAATTGTTGTACAGATCGGGGGTCAGAGAGACCGACACTATAGGGGGTAACCATACCTGACATCATAGCAAACAAATCATAAATAAATAAATAAAACAAAAACAATACACACAAAAACAAACTAGTACAGAGAGACCGACACTATAGGGGGTAACCATACCTGACATCATAGCAAACACCCGGAGAAATGTCGGTTCAATACCACACCAATAGTTGTAGTATAATATTAATTGAATTGTTATAATATATAATAGACTTAATATAAAACCTAATTTAATATGAATTCCTGCGCCCATTATATGTAAAAAATCGCCAAAAACCAAAACTATTGTTTCATTTCTCCCGTTATTTATTAATAGCAAAATATAAGTGAATAATAAATACCATGAATTAATTGTAATAACAACAGGATGTGAGTACCATGGTCGATTCGTGGGTATTTTGGGTTTATGCAGAGATAACCCAATTTTATACAATTGATTGTCTGCTGATTGTATTCGCAATTCTTTAGGCAATAATTCATTGCATTTAATGCCAGACATTTTTATCCAGATATTGAGGGGACAAATAGTTCATAAAACATAAAACAATAATTTTTTGTTTTTTATAAAACATTTTTGTTTTAAGATTTAGTCTTGCTAAAAATAAAATATTTGATTAATGATTTATATAATGAATGAATTAATATCTAATAGCATATCTACATTTATATCTATCTATAAATATAATCTATTTATATTATCTAATATCTAATAAATATTACAACATCAATCATTAATTAGATTTTAAAACAAATAAAAATTTAAATCATAAATAAAGCATAATTTGCACGACATTTGGTAAATTAATTGTAATTTATTTTAAGCAAAAATAGTACAATAATAAACTACTATAAAAATATAATAAAATAAATATTATGTAACAATAATAGTCATTAACAATTAAACGTCATGTCAATAAACCTATGGCCGCCTCTGGATCTTCACGTCCACCCGTTTGGGCACAAGTATTCCGGCCGTGAAGTGACAAACCGGGGGTTTCTATACACCAAACAAATCATAAATAAATAAATAAAACAAAAACAATACACACAAAAACAAACTAGTGTTGCAAACACTAACCTCCGACGGGTAAAACCTATACCGAGTAACCAACACGACCATGGCCAGTTTGATCTCCATTTGGGCCAAACGCATGCCCACGCAATTGCGAGGGCCGGCGCCGAACGGCAAATAGGCGTACGGGTGATGACCACCGTTGGCGTCGTCGGCCATAAACCTCTCGGGTCGGAAGCGGTCGGGTTCGGGAAAGTGGCGGCCGTCCCGTTGCATGGCGTACGTCGGGATGTGTACAATATCGTCCCGTTTGACGGTAATACCGGCGCCGCGGAACTGGTAGTCCCGGTTCGGGCACCGCTCCAAGAATACAGTGGCCGGACTCAGCCGGAGGGTCTCCGCAATGACCGCATCCAAGTAGGGCAACGCACCCAACGCTTCGTAATTGTCCTCGGTCAACTTAATTTTAACCATGATTAATTAAATATGTTGCATACATAATTATAAACAAGGTTGTTTTTTGTATACTCACGTATTTTTCACGGTATTTGACGGCCTCGGCGTACAGTCTTTGCTGGACATCCGGATCGGTAGCGATATAGTGGACACACATGGATATAGAGGCCGCTGTTGTCTCATAGCCGGCTAACTGTAAGGCCACGCATTGGGAGATCAGTTCATCGATGGTTAACTCTACAGACAAACCCAATAAATGAATAGTAAAACACAACTCAAACAACTATAACAAAATATTCACTACTTTTGGCCAAATCGCGGGTCGACTGTATTTCTCTATACTTCTCGCCGTATTCTTCCTGTTCTTCTGCGGCCAACAGATCAGTCGTTTCGGTCGAGTCGAGCATCAGTTGCATAAAGTCCACCCGTTTCTGGCCATCAGTGGCCACCGATTTCAGCCTCTCTTCGATCACATTTCGGGTAAATTCGGTAAAAAAGGGGCCGAAATCGTATGCCTTGAGTCCGAAAAACTCGGCCACTTTCGGGGCGACCATCGCTACCACTAGACGCCAGTCGTTGTCATTAGCGAACACTTTTTGGGCGTTTGTCACCAGCGGGTGATCCAACATTGCGTCCACTTTAATGCCGAAGGCCACCCGAATTATCACTTCCATGGCGTAGGCGCCCAACACTCGCTTCATGTCCACCACCGGTGCTGTCGAGTGATCACCACTACTACCGGTTGGGCACAGTTTGTCCAGATTGGCGATCAAAGTGGCCCTACAGTCCACTATCATTGGTAGCATTTTCTTGAGCTTTCCCGACGAGAATGTGGGCGACATCGCCGTACGGACCCGTTTCCAGTGGTCATCCCTTAACACGTCGATCATATTGTCGGTGAGTTTGTCACCAGAGCGCAGGTCCTGTTGTTATGGGTGCAAATTAATTAAATTTATTTACATTGTATACTTTTAAACATGGTTTTAATTGTTAACTCTGTTATCAATAAATACCCGTCGATTGTTAAATACGTGAAAGTCTTTGACCAATACGTCCCGAATGAGGTCCGGATCCGTGAGATAGAGCACCGGTTTAGTGGTCTCGTAGAGGCCGAAAGTGTGGCCCCGATTACGCCGATACAGATCCACTTCCCAGTCCTGCCATTGTTTAGTCAATAGCGTATAATAGCTAACGCTCTCTGTTTTTACGCCTTGTTTTTGCCAATAATCGCATTGCGATCGCAGATATCTATTCAATTAGTTTTAATTTTAATTATAAATGTGTTATAAATGTATTATACAATTGTTGTGTTCACTTACTTATTAATTAAATATACGGTTACAAACAGACCAAGTGTACCAATAAGTGTCCATTTAATTAGCAATTAGTTTTAATTTTAATTATAAATGTGTTATAAATGTATTATACAATTGTTGTGTTCACTTACTTATTAATTAAATATACGGTTACAAACAGACCAAGTGTACCAATAAGTGTCCATTTAATTAGCACGGGGTTGAATATGTCTAGTAGTTCCAACATGTTGCAAATAATTTCATTAAAATTAGAGTTATAATAATTAAGGCAAACAAAACTATATTAAAAGTTGTTTTACAAAGTGTTAATAGTTTTATATAAGAATCCCAAAGTATTTATATACGAAAAATATTTATACCATAACTGATAACAACTCGTATAATTGGTTTAGCAATTGATTCAATCAAAACATGATAACTATTATCATTATTGTGAATCAAACCGCACTTTACGTACCGGCGCTTAAAAACCTGGTTTTAATCAATTGATAACAACCAGTGCTAAAAGTGCTGTTCAATTGCCAAACCATTCGCTTAATTGAGTTAACGTTAAATAAATTAATAGAAATGAAGGTCAATCAAGTGTGGTATTTATCATGTGTGATATTGTGCGATACAGTAGGTCTATTGTTTAACCTTGATAACCACCCTTGATGTACTAGATAACTTAAATTGGTATACCATTATGCTTACAATCGGGTACACTATATGAGTATAACAGTTATGTTATTAAATTAATTATCAATTAGGTTTCAATAAAATTAAACTACACGAACATTAAGGTAATAATCACCACAACTGATCCCAAAAACCGCAGACATAGGCCATAGGGTGCAGGCCGTGAGGTCTGACCACCAGTTGTAAGGGTTGACCACATGTCTTGAGGACCAGATTTTGAGTTAATATCTGCCGGTAATAAAACAATTGATTAGATTTTTGTGGACACAACTCATGAGGTATTAAAAGCACTTGTCTTTGTTGTGCCCGATTTGGTCGCACTCTTCGGCCATCACTTCATTTGATCCAAACATTTGTCTGCAAAACAATTAACTTTTTATTACTATTCAACCAAACAATGAGTCTTATAATGCAGACACGTTTCGCCCTTTATTTACAGCCCCTTTAAGCACAACAATCGCTTCACTGCTGAGCAATACAACACATTGTAATGCATTATTCATTAGACATCCATTTTAAACATCAGAATAGAGGTGTGAATGGGTTTTGCATATAAGCGTTGCCCTCATCTCTACGCCCCCACAGAAACGTCACGTAATTTGTGAACATTTTAAGAGACAAACAGACGATTTGTTTTGATTTTGTCTTTGATTTTGGGATCAATTGTTTGTCAAATCAAGTGCTTTGAACCGCAAAGCGATGTCCACATCGATGGAGGTCGAGGTCGAGGTCGCGGAGGTCTGGGATTTTGGCGACGAAGACAACACCGGATCAGCTGATTGTGCGGTAAAGACGGCGACCAATGGATTGCCGGACAAGACATCCGCCAACGGATCGATGGCTAAGACATGGAGTGATGGCACGCGTCAGCCGAAGCCGTCCGAAGACAACGCTTCCGGCGTTTCGAAGCCGACGCGCGAAGACATCGGTTCCGGCGATTCAACGACACATCCATTCAAAGAGTTGTATGTTTTCGACCGAAACCACAACAAGAGATCCGGCTATGAAGTGTCGGAAGCGCTGAATGGCTTTGAAAGTCACCACAAATTGGGTTCGTTTCGCATTGAAGACAATCACAGCTATAATGACGTGAATTGCGAACAAAATGTCGTCGTTTCCGACGAAGAGCTGAAGACAATCGAGAAAAT